AAGTAGATTGTCCTTTGGCTCATGATCATGTAGTTGCTTTTATTCCCAGTCATCAAAATCACTTAAGATTCTAAGTATTTGATAGACTATCTTTTAAGATAAGCTGAGAAGCAGAAGAGTGTGTGTAACACAGAATAACACCCTTGGGATTGGGGATCTTGAATTCTTAATTCTTTTTTTGTCACTGACTTGCTGGGTAACCTCTAGCAAGTCACTAAGATTTTGTTTACCATATTTTAATGTTATAAAAATGGAATGAAAAGTCCTTTTTTAGGATGCACATTAAACTGATTACCATTGAGGAGGAGAAAAGGAGATTTTTGTTTATTTTTTGCTTCATATGTCTGTATTTTAAAATTTTAAAAGAATACATTGTACGTGAAATACAAATAATTTTCTTTTAAGTTGTTTTTCTTTATTTCTGTTTTTTTTTTTAACATTTTAATACATCTGAAATCCGGGTGTGTCTAACAGTTGATGGCAGGCCATACATTAATTGGCAGTGCTTTTTCCTTAATGGTACATAAAAAATAGTATATCTTTTAGATGATGGTCCATAGACTGAATGAAATATGATAATTTTTAAACATAGCTTTTTAAGTTTTTTGGTGTGAGGAAGGGTAACATATAAAGTGCTTTGAGCTCTCTTTTGCATAAGTTTTTGACTATATAAAATAATCTGGATTACTTTACAGAAGTTAGGCTTTGTAATCAAACCAACACAGGTTCAAACTCTGATACCATTATGTACTAATTATGTGATTGTGAGTCTGTTACCTAATCTCAGAACTTCATTTTTCTTGTTGGCAAAATAGGCATAGTTTTGTAATGTGTAAAACACCTCCAGTATAGTGTCCTAATGTTCAGCATGGAGTACACATATTAAAATATCCTTACTATTGGTGATTGTATTATTATCTGTATTGTTGATTTTCACATTTATAGATTATACATTTTTGGTGACCAAGGATTGAGTTTTAATCTGAATTTGTTGTAGAGAATGTTGCTGTGCTTTGTTAGGGCCTTTGATACAATGTAGTATTCCCTGTGTTGGATTTTTAGTGTGTGCTTTTGCCGCCTGCTGTTAAGTAGAACTCTAAATGAAATAATACTTGGGATGAAATTTACTTTCTTGCATATGTCTCAACTATGGACACTGTTTAGAATGCATGTAATGTCAAAAGATCTATAAATTACTATTAATAACATTACTACATTGGTTGGCTGATTTAGAGAGAAATGATCATATGTACGTATATTCAGATTTACATGGACTATAGTAGTTCTTAGAAGTGTTAAAAGTAAACCAAAACCATGATAGTAATCTTACTGTCTCTTTAAAGCAGTAGTAGAGGTAGTTCACATGCTGAATGAAACTTTCTGTTGCCAACATTACTCTCTTCTACACCTATTTTGCGTATATAATTTCCCTTTGATGTGTGAGAAATTTAACAAATAGCTAATTACCAACCTGTTAAACTTTTGGAACTTTGGAACATAAAGTTGAACTGTAAGCAGGCAGATTTCAGCATTTCCCCATACCCTTGAGCAGATGAGTTGAATGGGTAAATGGAATTAGTCCCTCATTTTACTTGTTTTTGCAGTTCTTGAAATATTGTTTACTTATTTATGCTGAATTAATGAGAGCAGATGTTGACGTTCTCTTGATTTTTTTTTTCTTCTACCGGGGAAAATACTTTCTTTGGTTGGAAATATATAAAGAGGTTTTTCAAAATCTACAGACTTCTGTAGACCAGGAAATTTTACCATGTAAAATATATCAAACTTAGGATGGTTCTATTCATTTGGTTTTCTAGAGAAAAATAGAAAAAAAAGAGCTATGGGATTTAGCCTGAAAATATCGTTATTTGTTGGTAGTGAATTTGTGATCATTAATACAGATTTTATGATATTTAAATAGATTGAACCTCAGTATTCCAAAATAATAGTAGGGTTCAGGTAGAATTTGTATTATATTGGGAAAGTGTCTTGGATACCTCATTAGAGTCTTGAGTTCTGAAAGACTCTAAAGTTCACCTGGCCTGACATGATTCTTACAGGAGTTGCTTCTAAACTGTCTGTGACAGATGACTCTAGCTCTCTGTGAGCTGTATGGAGAGGCAGTCTGTTTGATTATTGGACATCTGTAACTATTAAGTTCTTCCTCATATTCAGTCCAAATACACCTATGCAACTTCTTCCCATTTTTCCTAGCCCTATCCATTGGAGCAATTCAGAGTAAGCCTGATCCTTCTTGACATCTGAAGATAGCTCTTTAAGTATTAGTCTCCTGGTCTTCAAGTTAGTCCTCCTTCAATATGTATGATTTATTTTTGTTACTATTGTTGAGAATATACACAGCAGAACATATACCAAGTTAACAATTTCTACATGCACAATTCAGTGACATTGATTACATTCTCTAAGTTGTGTAACCATTTTCACCCTCCTTTTCGGAATTGTTCCTCTCACTTTAACATAATCTCACTGCCTCCTAAGTTTCCTATCTAATCTTTCCAGTTGCTGTTGTTAATTTGATCCCATATAGATAATTCTTAAAAGAGCACAATGCTCAAGGTAGACATTTTTTACTAGTTAAGCTATCAGTCATTCTTCGTATTACATGGTTAGTTGACCTCTCCAGGATGCAGCTTATCAGAAGTCCCTTTTACAGTGCATCTTTCTTGAAGAATTCTACTATTCTACCAGGAGATGCTTAGCATTGTTACAGACCTTTGTGAATCTTAATTATTTGACTAGGGATTAATTGTAATTGATATTTTTATTCTGAAAAGTTTATTTTTCATTTCTGTTAAAATTCAGTCTTCATTGGTCTTCGTATACTTTGTTATTTAGTCATTCCCCATGTTGTAGTTTTTTCTGAGTTTATCTCATAATTTATGTAAGCTAAGAGACTGAATTAAACAGTGAGGAGGAGCCTAGGTAGTTGTGTTAGTTTTTGTTTTTTGCTGATCAGTATGATTTCTGCTCCTAAATTACTCTTTGATACAAGTGTTTATATTCAGTCATGCAGTGTTCCCATTTCACATTATTTTTAATCTTGTTGCCAGTAGCATTTTTAGTTCTCTAACCACAAACCACCAACCTTCTCATATCTTTTTGCTATGGTAAGAGCTGTATCATATTTCTTCTCATCAATATAGTTCTTAAGTTTTCTAAACAGAATCCTTTTAAGACATAAAAAGTAATGCTCTTCAAGGCCTTTTGAACGCATATAGGCTCTTCTATACTTGCTTTTTGGTGGTTGTTGTTTTAGAAGATAAAATACTGTATTTGTCTTCTAATTAAAATTTGATTCCAGTCCTGAAAATTTTTTGAATAATTTTTCAGCACTTACTATGTGCCAGATATTTTGCTAAGAACTTTACATAATATATACTATCTTGCTTAATTAAATAAAGGTGATAGCAACCTATGTGTTAGGCGCTATTGTTATTGCTATCATGCTGATGAAGAATATAAGACAACTTTCAGGGGCAGGGGGCATGCAGATGATAAGTGGCAGAACGGAGCCTCAGACCCAGGCAGTCTGACTTTTGGAGCCTATGCTTTTAGGTTCTATATTTATAACTGTTTGCTTTTTAAATATAAGCATCTTAAAAGAACCATCTTGCTGTTATTACTAGTGTAGTCCCTTCTATAAAAAATACATAGATTTTTTTTTTTTAATATTTTAAATTATTTTAAGTCTTTGTGAGGGGCCAGTGGTGGTTCAGTGAATTCTCGCCTTTGATGCGGGAGACTCGAGTACCTTATGCACAGCCACCACTTGTCCTTGTCTGTCCGTGGAGGCTTAAGTGTTGCTATAATGCTGAACAGGTTTCAGCAGAGCCTCCAGTCTCAGACAGACTAGAAAGAAGGGCCTGGTGATCAACTGTTGAAAATCAGCCAGTGAAAACCCTATGGATCACAGCTGTTCAGTCTGCAGCCAATCATGGGGATGGCGCAGGACCAGGCAGAGTTTCATTCCAGTGTTCGTGAGGTCGCCATGAGTCAGGAGCTGACTCAACAGCAGCTAACAACAACAACAACAACAACAACAAGTTTTTGTGATTTAAAATATGCAGTGTCACCAGAGGCCACAAATGATTACTGAAACATTCTGTGTTTTACTTAGCTTTCTGTCAGTACCATGTTAGTAGAATGATTTCTGGGAAATCATTGAGCCATTCATTCTCAGTTCTTACGAAAGAATTATCTGTGAAGCCAGTGGAAATATAGTACCTGGGAAATAGTAAGCAGCCCCAAGGAGTACATCTATAATTGTATGTGCAGCTTACATGAAATCAGTTATGGCCAAGTATAATCTTTCAATATCCTATAATGTCATTGCCTATAAGTTTAGACCAGAAGTTCTCAAAGTATGGGTCTGGGACCTCTGGAGGTCCCTGAGATTTTTTTTTTAAGGAGGTACGTGAAGTCAAAACTATTTTTTTAAAAAAAAATAATATTAAGACATTTTTCTTTTTCCCCCTCAAGCTTTCATAAGTGTACAGTGGAATTTCCTAGAAGGCTACGTGACATGATACCACAGCAGATTGAGTGCAGAAATGGATCTGAAACTCCAGCTGTCTTCCTTTAAGCAGCTATTAAAGAGATTTACAAAAATGTAAAACAGTGCCACTCTTCTCACTAAATTTGTTTTATTTTGAAATCTGTAAATTTTTCAAAAGCTAGATTATTGGTGCTAATGTTAATAGGCTTATTGTTTTAAATAAACAAATATTTGGAAATTCTTGATTTTAGTTTCTAATTTAGTAAGTATTAGTAGATAAAACCCACATAAACAAAAACTCTTTGGGATAAAGGGATTCTGAGACCAAAAAGTTTTGAGAACCATTCGTTTATATAGTTTGTATCATATGATGTTAAAGAAAATCTTGATATAGAAATAAAAATCAAGAGTATATTGAAAGATTTAAAAAATGAAGCATTTTTATAATTTTACCAAATATTTTTCTTTTGAATTGTGTAAGCAGGAGACTGGAACCTAGTGAACGACCTCTTCAGATGGTTTATGATTATTTATCCAGGCTGGGCTTTGATGATCCTGTGCGCATACAGGAGGAGGCAACAAATCCTGACCTTGGCTGTATGATTCGATTTTATGGTGGTAAGAATTTATCAGTGGCTTTGTGAATATGTTAACTATTTTTAAGTTTATGATTCGTGCGTCTGTCTCCCTTTAGCTTTTCAAAAGTGTTTTATCAAAAGTTTTTTTTTTTCCCAAAAGTTAGTTTTAAGCCAATTAGCTAATCTCATTAAAAAAAACAAAAACAGGGCTCAGAGAGTAAGGAAAGAGTTAGAAGAAGTATTAGCCAAAAGGAAAAAAAAAAAAATCTTCCCTTTTTATTTTGCCCTTTCTATTCTTGTGTTTTGCCAGTTTATCAGAATTATTTTATACCTTTGCCAGAATCCTGATCAGATAGCT